ATTTTTTGGTGGTTGGTAAAGATTGTAGTTTTACTTCACGAAATTACTGCAATACAATCATGTCATAACTCATAAGGTCATACTCATAACATACAATTCGTTCTTCCCTTTCTATTTGCTTGTTGTTTTTCTGTCTGTTGGCGATTTTGTTGTACAGATAAGGTCCGAAACATAATCTTCTAAAATTTTGGGCGTATTTGATGAAAATTTATATATTCATCCCCCATCAAAAAAATTCCAACATTATTTTTAAGATCTATGATCCAAGATTTTATGGAAAGATAAATAGAGGTACGCGCTTTATTGTGGTATCAATCAAATGTAAATATACATTATTTATAAAAAAATTTTAAATGTCATAATTTTCAAATATGGATATTATATTATTGCATCTTACTCTATTTTTGGGTCCCTTCTTTCTATATGCTTTTAAAGAAGTAAGGGTTCCCCACTGTCAACTTTAAATAGAAAATACTTAACAAAAAAGAAACAGAACGAATAAAAACAGAATAAGACGCAGAAATAAAATACAAGTGTTTTATTTGAAAAACTGAAATCTTGTTGTGTATTACGCCTTATAGATGGAATATTCTGTACAATTAAATATAATTTCAGTGCATAGTCCTCAAAGAAACGTAAAACTTTATTTTTTAAGTTTTTTATCTACATATATTTAACATGAGATATCGAAGAGTGTGCGCTTAGCGACTCACTCTATATATTCATCAACAAACTAACACATATTAATAAAACATTTATTTATTCATCTACCACAAAAAATTTATGATAGCATCTGAAAAAAAAAAATGTTGTTCTAGTTTTTACAACTCTTTACGGTTTACGGTGAATATAAAAAATAATCTTATTTTAAAAACAATTAATTCAATTTACATGAAATTGATAGAATGCAGTAGCTATGACGGTTGCATTACATGTATATGTTAAATTTGGTAATAAATCTTCATTGAATATTAGAGATCCTCTAACATTCATGGAAAATTGGTTGTAATTTACAAGAGAGGGAAATTCTGTATAAAAAAATTTTAAGTAATTTTTTGTTAATACTAAACCACAACATTAGAAATTACTGCAACAAAATGAAACAGTTCTATGTATTCAAATATTTTGTGAAAACGTAGTATATCTTCAAAAAAAAAAATATAAGCGTAATTTATACTCTAAGGTTAATCATAATCAGTTCTTTGGCCATTGGTATTTTTTTAGTGTTTTATAGCTCGTAAAATATAAAATGCAGGTTTCTCGATTCCGTTTGTTGGTGACTTTATTAGACATTTAATCTTCGAAACTACAGATTAGTATAAAATTGTAGGTGGATTTTAGAATTATCTTGATTATGGGAAATAAAACGCTAACTAAAATTTGTTTGTGCATTCCCTCTAAAAAAAATTGGTGACGACCTCCCAAAACTTTGTAATTAAACTGCATTTTAAATGCGGTTATTAACATTTGCTTTTACCTGTGGAGCAACAACCTATTTCCATTTTTAGCTTTGTGTATAAGAATTCTTATAAAAAAGATATGAATCATCGAATTGTATACTGGATTTCTTCGAAATTTGGGTAACATGGATATGTTTTTTTCCCAAAAAATTAATGTAGGTATATTGTATCGACTATCGCAGAAATAGATCGTTTAAATTACTTAGTTGTGTATTGTTAACATTAAAAAAAATATTAGTTTCTACTCAAAAGTTAATGACTCTTATTTTATTATTAGTTCTTTTTTTGCAATTCTCCTTTAGACGCCGAGTTTTGAAAAGAAATATGTGTTTTTTATAGTTTAAAATAGATTCTTATTAGAAACAGTGTTTTACGAGTATTATTAACTATGTCATAAATATTTTATGTACAGCTAACATCTTTTATTATTTCGACCAGAAGCTCTCTGTACTTCATTAAAAGCGACCTTTATAGCTGGCAAACCAGTATTTATAAATCACATCGTGTATTTGTTATATCGCACCATCGGCATCAGAATTGGAACTACAAGATGAACAGGATTATTAAGATGAAAAATGTTGTTATGTTAGTTATGCGAAGGAACCACAAAAGGATGAGTTGAAAATACGGTCATTGTAAATGTAGGATGGCCAAGCACCACCTTATTATAACAAAAATTTCGATCGACGTTCGCAGTTCTTTGTTTCAGACAGACCTGAAATAAAAAAACGGATAGCGATGGATTCAACATAAGATGAATCACCACAGGTAAGTGAATGGTAATAAAACTAATCAACACAAAAAGATTCTCATTAAATTACTACTATTAATATAATTACTTAACACATATCAGGTTATAATTTATACTCCTATGATTTTTTTTTTTCAACATGATATTAGAGTGTTTGCGCAAGAGTATTGTTCGTTATACGTATAACCATATAAGCAGCGCATTTTACTATAACGGGGGAAGAACACAAATTTTACTTTGCTTATATGTGTTAATAAGTTGTTATAGTTATAAATGACAGATGTTATAATAGTAATAAGTTGGGTTATGTGGTCGATTACTGAAGTTTAACACCTACTTCCATGCGCGAGAGCATAACGTCGAGTTTTCTGATTGGCTTCGTTATTTTTAAATAATGTAAGGAATCGGTGTATACGGTGTATATTACACCGGTCGATATGATTATAACCATAACGACGTGTTTTTATAAACGAAAAAGTCCCTTGCGCAAACACTATATTTTCTGTGAAATGTTACACTAATTGTAAGTACGACAAAAACTAATCAGTTCAGAATTGGCTTCATTTAAAAGGTTTGTCATGAGTGATTTAGTTAATAAAATAGTATTATATTTAATCAACTGTGCATTTTAATGATGCATATAATCGTAGATAAAACTCGTTTTCATATTTAACGAGTCTCCTTGCACTTTTATGATTCCTTAATTTTATTTGTTAAATCAGCTTAGAAACGAAGAAAAATGGTGAATATAAATTTACTAACAGGAATGTAAAAAAACAGAGCCAGTTAAAGCCTCCACAGAAATTAATCTAGAAAACAACGCTTTTAAATGCATATTATTTTCCATTAATCCATAATAATAAATTAATCGGAGGGCTATATGTTAAACCAAACAACTTTGATGCACATTTAATTTTAAAATCTTAGGAGTCACTAGGGCGCTTTGAAACGTAAAATTTCTTATAAACTAACATTGTCGCAAAGCCCAATTCACATCATAATGTGAATTGGGCTTTGAAGAAGAGGGTCCGTTACAGAAAGATATTCGTTAAGACCTGTTTTGTTCATTTACATTTACATTCATTTAGAAAAATAAAATTAAAAAAACTACTTAATACATATCTTAAAGTGAAGAAAATCTTATTACAGCGATGCGATGGTATTAAATGTTACTGCTTATCCACTTAAGCCGATTAAAAGATAGGTGTAACAAGAATCACGTATACTTAAAAAAATCAAAACTGGCATTTGCGTTAATAGATTCATAAAATAAACGAATAGCTGTACTAAGTAGGTAAGTATATAAGTAAAATATGAATTATACATTAAATTAGAGGGATCAGAAAATTCGTAAATTAAAGAAAAGAAATAACTCAACTAAGCTAAACATAACTAAAACTTTTTAAAAGCGTTTGTACATGATATCGTTTCTAACAAAGAACTATGGATATGTATGCTCAAAGACAACATAAACCAGTGAAACTAAAAGAAACATCTTTTAGTTTAATAGTAAATAATTAATAATAATTTAATTTAATTTAATAAGTCCGCTTACATAAATAAAATTTCATTTTGCGAATATAATTTTTTGCCGTTAAGCCCCTTATAAATTAAAATAAGATATGTTTGTTTTAAAAAAACTACAAGTAAAAAATCACGTTGTTCGTATGTTTCAAGTACATTTTCCCAATGAAATTTTGTGCTGACGTCATCAATTTTTTTTTACAGATGTATAAATCACTTTGAATCACTTTAGATATGTACCGAAAGGACACAAAAAACACGATCAAAGACACCCATGGATTTTTGAAAGCTGCCTACGATAGTTGCATTTCCAACGCAAACTTTCAATTATTAACAAAACGAAAATTTTATCAAAGACATCTTCAAAAATCCATGGCTGTCTTTGATCAAAGCAAGAGCAATAAAAACACGATCATGTTTTTATTGCTCTCTCGGTACTACAAGAGTAATGTGTTCTCGGTATTTCAGACAAATGAGACAAGTCGTTTTCGAATCAATGAATAAAATATATTGCTTCATTAATCTTTTTGAGACACGTACTTATGGTAACAATTCTAAAAAAATAAAAATACATTTCAATTAAAACTATTTACAAAATTTATAGATGACATAATTAATTGTTTGAAAAACACGAATAGATAAGTTAATTCTATTTGGCAGCAGGGCCGGCTCAACACGGTAAGCGAAAGATGCACCGCTCCGGGGCTCCCGTGACAAGGGGCGCCGGGCGGCGGGCGCCGCCTATGCTTTTATACAGGGTTTTCATAAATGATTATAGGGTCGCAGTAGGTTATGGATGTGTGCCGCCTTTCGCTTTATGTGTACTTTACTAAATGTGTCCTTGGGCACGACAAGCACCACATGCATCTGTATAACTGGTTGCCTAAATGCTTCATGATTAAATATCGAAAACGCATGCGTCAATACACATGTGACTAACATAACAAGGCGATACTGGCGATAACAAGTGAAATTTTTGGTTGGCTGTTGATATACACACGCACAAATTCCAATAACTAAATCATCCACGGAAAAAGAAGTTCCACGTTTAGGAGTATATTTGTAATGAAGTGCAGGAGGCGAAGCGCCCGTGTGTCCTTTCAAAAAGTTAGCACGCGTTGGTGACCATAAAAAGTTAGGTTATGTTAGCAACGGCTGCAATGCTGCAATTAAAGAATGCACGAATGCGAAATTTAACAAATTTTTGTGGCAAAAGGAAGCATTTGCATAACATTTGAAGATGAGGAACGTGATCAGAAGATGCTGTAGAAGAGCTTTGCACAAACAGTTTGTGCGAAATCGAGAAGCGCGTGTTCTGCGCGATGTTACGGAGTTAGATAAGCGCAAATGTAGTTCATTTTCAAACTGTTTTTCAGAAGTTGAAGGCGCATTGATGACCAGTGGGACCAAGGGCCTTTGGTGGTTAAATATGCCTTTATATACATGGACACCAGATGCATGTGCTTAGAAAGATGATTTTTGATTAAGAACTCAGAGCAAGAGTATCTTTAATGGTGTATACAAATTTGACAAACAACGCATTTTAATGTCTGATAACTACATTTCCTATCCATCAGTTCTACTTCATGAAAGTTAGTTTTGGTTTGTGAGTGCATTAAATGTTTTACAGCAGATTCTTTAGCTACATTATCAAAACTTATCTGGGTGGCAAGTTTATGGGACTTACTGACCAAAAGGTCATGGTGAATAGCTGTAAGTCATAAAGTAGATGAAATTCTTGACCAAGATGTATCCTTCAGTAGTTTCTTCAAAGTGTCTAAATATGTTTCCAGCCCTCTATTGGTTTACCACCAAAATATTTGTATTTCAAAGATCTGTGCAAAGATTTGGCGTGCATGTTGGTGTTAATGCCTGCGTTCTTTTGATAACACTGGGCCCATGACTTCATGCGCTCTTTATTTTGAAAGTAGTAAGTGTTTAAATAATTCACAAATTTATTTTTTACCAAAAATTTAATCAGCTCTTGCTTCAGTCTTATAAATTTATTTTCATCTGTTTCTTTTAATACATAATCTAATTTTGTAAGAATCTGATTTATTGTTCCAGGCATTCCAATATGTAGCTGTAACTATCATCTGTCATGAAATAATTGGGTACCAGAACCGATATTAATGATTTTATTTCACCAACCAGAACCTCTTATATGTTGGTGTCCTTTCAGTTGGACAGAATAAATGTTACTGGATAATCAATATTTTTATCATCTAACACATGGACTTGTGGTCAATTCAATGTCATAGAGGTTTGTCCCATGTGTGCCATCTACACAAATGATTTTGGCGCCATATTTTTTTAACATATACTCCAGCTCGCTGTACATGGAAGCTAATGCAGTCATTTTTGTGGAATTTTTCATGTTCTGATGCACAAGATTTTCCTTACTTCATTTACCAGATATATTATTTTTTCTGCAATGTGGGGAATGTCTTTCATAGTCAGAAGATTAAATCTGGTACATGAACTGAATTCTAGATTTTTAACAGTTTCAATTATTTTTTCGTGTGTTACACCAGTGCGAATTTGTTCAACTAGATATGTCGTTTCTTTTGTAGTCAGGGGTTAACAGCGAAGATCATTGTGATGAACAACATGAATAGCAATAAACTGAACAAGTACCACTGAGGAAGAATGATCAAAGTGAGCTGTAATTCGTGAAGGACAGACTCCTTGCATTTTGATACTGCCACTAATTTTAGGAGCTCGTATATTACATTTACTAACAGAATTTGCTAGATTACTTCTGACATTCATAGTAGAAAATAATAATAATAAAAATAATTCATAATGGAATAAACAAACAAATTTATTGTGGTTAAACATCACAGTAAATGTTGAAAATGTTCACCATTTAGTTCAAGGCACATATTCACTCTCTTTTTCTTACTTTCAAAAATGTTCTGTAACATCCTTCCATCAATGCTTTGAACCCATCGTTCAATTTCATGTTGCAACTCTGCCAAGTTATTCATTTGCCGTTGAAACACTTTGTCTTTCAAATATCCAAATATTGAAAAGTCCAATGGCGTAAGATCTGGGGAACGTGGTGGAAATGCATGCTGCACTCCTAAACTTATTACACGATCGTCATAATGTTGTTGTAAATATTCCAATGTAGCAGGTGCAGTGTGTGCAGTCGCGCCGTCCTGTTGAAAGTACCCTAACTGCAGCTCTTCGTCATCAAGTTGTTGAATAAATGGTTCCAAAATCTGTTGCCTATACCTCTCTCCAGTCATAGTATCATGAAAGAAAATAGGTCCATATATTCGTTTACGAGAAACTGCCAACCATACTCCAATTTTTAAAGGATGAAGAGGCGTCTCTACAAAAACATGTGGATTTTCCGCGGACCAAATTCTAAAATTTTGCGAATTGACATAGCCAGATAAATGAAACCATGCTTCATCACTAAAAAATGTAAGGTCCAGTAACTCGTCATCATGAAAAGTATTCTGAAACCAATTGCAATATTCTACGCGGCGTGGAGGATCTATTGGTAAAAGTTGTTGCACAGTAGTTATTTTGTAAGGATGCATATGCAATCGTTTTTTCACTACTTTGTGACATGTGGTTACGGGAACTCCTGACTGTTGAGATAATCTTGTCAAAGATGTTTGGGGATTCTGCTCGAGTCTTTCTCTCAAATCATCAACAACTTCCTCAGATACTGCAGGTCTCCCAGAAGATTTCCCTTTGTTGACATTGCCAGTGCGAACAAATCTGTTGATGACATCTCTAATGTGAGCCTCTAATGATGTTTCTTGAATTTCCAAATCAGGGTAATTGGCCAAATATTCTTGCTTACAAGCGGCTACAGAATACAGCCACGCTCCGTCTACGAATGTCCCATTGCGATAATAAGACATAACGATGAAAGTGTTTTGCTCAACCGAATAAACCATTTTCACGGTCTTCGCTTCGAGCACAAAGTTTTCGCACGCAAGCACCAAGAGCCTTGAGAAAGGCTATTTTGTTGTTTTAAACTTGGATCAACGAGAATTACTGTAAATCACACTTGGAAAGTGGTAGAACAATAAAAGCGATGATTTTAAGTGACAGGTTACAAATGACAAGTGAGAACTGTCAAATGAGACAATTTCAGCAAAGCGGCATTTTTGAAATCCATGGCCAACTACGCCCTTAGAATCATTTATGAAAGCCCTGTATTAACTCTATAAAAATAAATTAATATTAGATTTGCATTGAATCACTACGTACAAAACATTATAGCAGGAACAGACCAAGGCGCCCATCGAAAACTTTTCAGAAAAACCTACATTTTAACATTTCACTATGAGGAGTGGTTCACCACAACAGGTCCTAAGAAATCAATTCCTGGCACTTTCTGACTGTAATAATTGAAAAAGAGTGCGCCTTTGGGTTGGGTGATTGGACTTTTAGATCAATACCGACAAAAAATCTGATTTATGATTGCATTATCTCGGTAACAATTTGACGAGACAGCGGTGTGACCAAAAGCAGATGTTTTTCCTAACATTTGTCACGTTTGTTTTTACCATAAAACTCCATGTTGGCACATACTTAAAAAAATTATTTTCCAAGTCTAGTCGGTTGGTTGTGGTAGTTGTTCAACAGTTTTGTTATATTTTTCACTGTTCCTGTTTGTAGCAGAATTTGGTTCTGTGTATCATTCCGTGGGTCTTTGTCATCATTAATTTTAAATTTCGATTAACATTGAGGTGAGTCTAAATTAAAAATAACTTTGAAATCGTATCAATTTTATACAATATTAAAAATTGAGAAACTTTTGCAATGTAAATATTTTTATACTTATACTATGTATAAGATTGTTGCCAGCAGCTCAGCTTGTGCGTAATTCGCGATTAGGACACATCAGTTTTCATCTCGTTCACTTCCCCCTCCGCAGTGAACTTAAAAACTTAAAAACTCATTAATCCTTTCTTAATGGGTGTTTATGGCACAAAAGGAACCTACTGTCCAAATTTCATGTTTGTAGCTTCAGTAGTTTAGGCTTTGCGTTGATGAATCAGTCAGTCTGTGAGTAAGGACAAACACTTACTAGCGTTTAGAAGGCACAAAAGTTGGTAAATATCTGTAGTTTATAGTTTCTTATGTATCAAGAGTAGGTATTATGAAGTAGTTGATAGTTCACCTGAGGGTATAAACTTCAAATAATACCCGTGATAGATACAAAATTTTATGTCTGACCGTTTAATTTTTGATATTTACAAAAAAAAGTCATCTTTGCACATTCTTTTATTAGTAACATTTACTGTCGCGGACTTTTCTTTAGAACTTTTAGAGGGGAACAATTTCATCATACATGAGTTTTACGTAACTTTAACCGTTTAAGCAGCGTAAGCAACGGAAGCTGTCAAAGGAGGAATAATTTTCCCGTTTTTCCGAATTTTTCATTGCTACTTCGCTCCTATTGATCGTAGCGTGATATTATATAGCCTATATGTAGATACGATAAATGGACTATCCAACACAAAAAGATTTTTTGAATTCGAACCAGTAGTTTCTGAGATTAGTGCGTTCAACTAAACAAACTCTTCAACTTTATAATATATACTAAATACTAAATACTAAATTACTAAAATATACTAAAATACTAGAAAGTATCTCACCACAAAAAAATGTGATTAAAAAATTTTATTTGTTTCTTTTTACAAAAATTTTTTTTAGAGGGCGTTGAACAGTAAGTTGCATCGGGGCGCCTGGTCCCTTAGAGCCGGCCCTGTTTGGCGGTTTACCATGTTCACGATAACCTCACTATGTGTTTGTAATTCCAGAACAATCTCTTTTTTAACTACTAAGATAAATTGTAAAATTTTCGACTTTTTCTTCCCGAACGTAAGCTAAGCCAGACTAGTAATCGAGTCCATTAGGCGACCCCTAGAGTACGAAAAAAGTGATATTCCGTTTTCGCCTGCTTGTCTGTCTGGCTGTCATCTGTCTGTTCTGCGAGCGCCTGAGTCCATTTTTATTAGACACGTAATCTCTGAAACACTGGACGACTTTTGTAGAAGGAATATCTGTAGATGGTAAAACGCGTTCATCAAAATTTCGTTTATCATCCTCACCAACAATTTGATGACGTCGGCTCATTATATTGCATAATTAACATTACCAAAATAAAATGAAACAATATTCTTCCTTACTTGTGGTTTACGAATATTTGTTTATTGTTTAATCCGCGTTTTTCGGGTGGTAGATTTATTTTTTAATAATATTCAGAACTTTTTGTTCGGTTGTGGCTTATTTAATAATTTTATTCCTCTGTGTTGAGGTGAGAAACTCATTCAAATAAATTTCTACGTGACCTTCTTTCGATGTATAAACATAAACACTTACACACTAAACACAAGTTAATAAGTCTGTTATTACTGCTGAGAAGACATTTTTCCTGTTGGTTATCTGCTTTAAATATATTGGGTTGTAAATCAGTAGTAAATGAAGTTCTGTCCAAATAATACCAGTTTTTTCTAAAAACCGACATCCACAAGTTGCAAAATAAGGTTAGCTCACTAAACTACAGTTATAGAACCACATTAATTAGCATATTCTATATATGATTTATTTACGAAAAGTTTAAGGTGGCGAACACAATAGCTATTTACGAATATATATCAAGTTGCAAAAAAGTTGCAAAAAAGCGGAGTTTTGAACCCTGTTACATACAAGATTTTTTGCAATTTTAAAGAACTAAAGGTAAATATTGTTACGATGATCGGCGATTAAAATCACCGTGGGTAAAACTCAACAATTTATTTCTTAGTAACTCGAATTTACACGACTAATTACACAGCGATTATGTACAAAATAATTCCAACGCAACTTGACTGGCTTCTCTTAATATTCGCTGGACTCGATTCGACTGAATAATTACACTAGTTTACAAATTTAAACTTTTTTTCGTATCCAAAAATAAAAAAAATATTTTTTACTTCTAAATTACTTGCTGATAACAAATCCAAAAACGGATTATCCTTATCACGTCAGGTTTTTTCATAAATCAAAAATAATGAACTTTGCTCTTACCTTCACGTTAGTATCAAACTGATTCATGTTAATGCACTATTGTCGCATAAAAAATGTCTTCGAGATCGTGCAAAGTAAGTGCA